ACTTTTATAAAAATTAATTATTATTGAACTATTTAAGTTATTCGCAAATTTTATCCTTTGTTAAGAGTAGCTAATATAGCTCCTAATTAAGGAAGTGGCTTAACTAGTTTATAACCTAAGATTCTACATTAAAGACCTCATGTTGAACTTTAATTTAAGTCGGGTGAGAGGGAATTGGAAAAAAATATATAAAGGATTATTATTATTATTATTTGTATAGCTTGTCATCATCAAATGTACAAAAAAGAAATGCTAATATTGGGAAAAAGAAAATACTCTATAGTCAATATAATTTGTTTAGGATTATAATAGTCAGGAAAATTAAAGAGTTACAAGTTCGGCGTACATTAATATTATTAACAATAAAGCCAATTGGTTGGCTTGACTAAAGTATTACTTTGAAATTCTAATTTGACAATTTCACTCGGAAATTAATTCTAATGCTTAACTATTACGCACTTGATCATTTCTTCAATTGCCGAAGATATTGGTAATTGACCCATTTAAGAAAATGTTGAGTCCTAGAAAAAGAAAATCAAGAACGATACGTTTTTTCTTTTAACCACGGCAGTTTAACAATTGCAAGAGAGGTGACATTAAAATTACAGTTTATAGGTCTGATCCCATATCTAATGAATGCCGATCTCAAAGGCTGGCTTACAACTTAGCTTGTGAAATTTCAAAACTTTGAACCCACCATGCTTTAGTGAAATGTCACTTGGAATTTTATAATCATAATTTGGTACTAAATAAGTAGAACATATAATATCATAAATAAATTTTTAAATAAAAAAATTAATTATATAATGATATATAATATTGTAAATTTATAATATTATGTAACATTATAATATAGCATTTTTGACTCTAAAAAGAGATCCCCTTAGTATATGTGAAAATTTAACTAAGATGTTTTTAAATTAATCGATTAAGGTTACTAATAAAAACTATCAAAACTATAAATAAAGATATCAGTGATAAAATCAATCACAATTATTAGTCACAAATTATTATTCCATGCATTTTAAAAATGCTTGCTATTTTAAAAATTTTAGATTTACTTGAAACTAAATTCATTAATAGAAACAACCATTAATTTGTAACGGATTAAAAGTTAATAATTCTCAAATCTCTGTAATGGGCATATGGTTACTCGTCGCGTCCCCTGGGAAAAAATAGGTCTAAGGTCAGCTAACATGAGTTTGACACGTTTGGCTTCGACAAAAACACGTTCAACTTCAACAAAAACACGCTCCGCGTGCATGTCAATATTTTCGGCGCAACGTAAACCCGCTCCGCGTCAATTACGGTGTGACCCTAATCAACACTTAAATCTACATAATTTTGTGTACGTCAACATTTTCGGCGCAACGTAAACCCGCTCCGCGTCAATTACGGTGTGACCCTAATCAACACTTAAATGTACATGATTTTGTGTACGACAATGGACAATAAGGTATAATTACTGGGGATTACGTAAGTAATCTCATATGGAAACAAACAGACCAGTAGCACTACCAAAGTGTGAACTCTCATATTTTATTCGACCTTCTAGAATGGAGAGATTAGTGAGAGGCTCATTCTCAATCAAGTTGATAGTCAATGGTGGAGCCCAAAAAGAAGCGAGGGACAAAATTCTTTATGAACGACTTGAATCTTAAAATTTTTTTATGACATTAATTATTTTTAAAAATTAAAAATAAATACATTTTATTTTTATATTTTTAATAATTTTTTATTAAATGACGTATTTTATTAAAATAAAAATAATATCTTTCTATGATAATATTTAAATAATAAATTAATTAATTTAATAATTTCAAAAATTTTACTATTTTCATCCAAAAATTATCTTTGTTTCATTTTACATAACTCAAAAAAAAAAAAAAGAAAGAGAAAAAAAGTAATTCAATACTTAAAAATTAAAATAATTGATTAAAAAATACTCGACCTTTTTTAT